GAGCATTGGTTGCAATTGCATGACGCCATGAAAATGGCGGGAACAGTCAGTTGTGGGTTTGCGAAACGTCCCGCTTTTAAGCACTGGGTTTCTTCTGGTTCCTTACAACTCATTGAAGCCCGTCGGTCTACTCCGGGTAACCGTGAGTTTGACCATAAACGAAGGATTTTACGTAAGGAAATCGGGCAAAGCTTGCGTAAGGACCGAGAAGCCTGGTGGTCGATGCGTGCTAATGAGCTGGAAGCAGCAGCTGCATCTGGTAACTACCGGAAGCTCTTCCAACTCATCCGAGCCACTGGCAGCAAGAAGTCTGGTGTGAGTGAAACAATCTGCGAGGATGATGGGATGCCAATCACTAACATCCATCGACGTCTTGGACGATGGGCAGAATTTTTCGAAGGGCAGTTCAACTGGCCTGCTGCTCCGGCAACATCGGTCAGACTGTCCTGCCCTCCATGGCCGGTGACGACTGATCCACCAAATGAGGAGGAAGTCCGCAAGGAACTCCAACTCTTGAAGCGTTACAAATCACCTGGCCCAGATGACTTACCTCCGGCTCTTTTTAAAGATGGTGGTGACTTTTTGACTAAGGAATTGACGACGTTGTTTACAAAGGTTTGGGAACTAGAGAGTGTACCAACGTCATGGAATGAGTCGATAGTTGTCCCTATCTTTAAAAAGGGTTCACGTCGTTCTTGTAACAACTATCGGGGGATAAGTTTACTTCCGATTGCGTCCAAGCTATTGGCTTCCGTCATTCTTCGTAGGTTGTTCAAAACCCGAGAAAGATTGACTCGCGAGGAGCAGGCTGGGTTTCGTTCTGGTCGAGGATGTATTGATCATATCTTCACCCTCCGCCAAATGTTAGAACACCGCCATACTTTTCAAAGGCCAACAATCGTAGTGTTTCTTGACATCAGGGCTGCCTTCGATTCGTTGGATAGGACTGTTCTCTGGGATTGTCTATTGAAGAAGGGTGTGCCTGAGAAGTTTATTAACATCCTAAAAGCCCTGTATAAAAACACCTCAGGCAGAGTGAGGGCATACAACCACCTCTCTCCATTGTTCCATTCGAGCAGTGGGGTTAGGCAGGGTTGCCCAATCTCACCATTCCTCTTCAACTTTGCCATCGATGACATTCTGGAAACAGCTCTGATGAATGTAAGTAATGGTGGTGTGGATCTGTTGCCTGGAGAAAGACTTCTCGACCTTGAGTATGCGGACGATATTGTCTTACTGTGCGATAATGCCCAAGGCATGCAATCCGCACTTAATCAGTTGGCAATCAATGTCCGTAGGTATGGTATGTGCTTTGCACCTTCGAAGTGCAAAGTACTTCTACAAGACTGGCAGGATTCTAATCCTGTACTCACCCTGGACGGTGAGCAGATAGACGTAGTTGAGAAGTTCGTGTATCTGGGTAGCTGCATAAGTGCTGGTGGGGGTGTGAGTGATGAGATCAATGCACGAATAGTGAAAGCCAGAGCGGCTTATGCCAATCTAGGCCACCTTTGGCGCCTTCGTGATGTTAGTCTGGCTGTAAAAGGCCGGATCTACAACGCGTCGGTGAGAGCAGTTTTGCTCTATGCTTGTGAAACCTGGTCTCTCCGAGTTGAGGACGTTAGACGACTCTCTGTGTTCGATCATCGCTGTCTCCGAAGGATTGCTGACACTCAGTGGCAACACCATGTCAGTAATGCAGAGGTTCGGCATCGTGTGTTTGGGCACAGAGATGATAACTCAATTGGTGTCACCATCTTGAAACACCGACTTCGGTGGCTTGGACATGTTCTCCGAATGTCGTCACAGAGAATTCCACGTCGTGCATTATTTGCCGACTCTGGGACTGGTTGGAAGAAGCGGAGAGGTGGTCAGTGCATGACATGGTGTCGTGGCATGAAAGAAAGCTGCAAAGGACTGGCTTGTGTTGGTCCTTCACGACTCCCTGGCTGGGGTCCGAGAGATGGTGCTACACAGTGGCTAGAGACGTTATCAGATATGGCTCAGAATAGAAGCCAGTGGCGATCCTGCTGTAACCTTGTTTTACTTTCTTCATAAAAAGTGGTTCTGTCTCCTTTACCTGAAAGATTTCTTCTGATTGTACCTCTTCGTCATTACTCTCTCTTTCTTTTGCGTTCCTTAGTTTTTTTTTTCTTTCTACTTCTCTTCGAATTCCCATTGTTTTGTGTGGCGCATATATATTGGCGCTCTCTTGTACCAATATTTATGTGTTCAAACAAACAAACAGTAGAGGTGGTAAGAGTATAAGCAGTAGTCGGAAACATTAGGGTTTGAAGATGTTATTCAAGGAGTATAATCCAGCGAAATAAATTTGGAAAGAGAAAAAAGGGACATGAAGAATTCAGTAAATTAGAATTTGAGAGAACACAAAGAGTGGATGCACCTGCGCCATTGCAAACGATTTTGAGCCATGTCATTCAGGGTCTCTAACCATCGGTTGCTATCGTCTCGTAAATCCCAACCATGTAGTCTACACCTACCAACATGGATCAGTCCATTTGTCAGTGACTTCGTGGATTTGTGCCATGCTTTGGTCTGGCGGCCCCTAGCTTTCTTCCAACCTACTCCTACACCGTAAAACACCGCACGTCGAGGCAGTCGGTGGTTAGGCATACGTAACACATGTCCCAGCCGTCTCAGCTGATGAGGTTTCACTACTTCATGAATTGATTTGCCATCCTTACCTAGTACCCGTGTCCTAACAACTACATTACTTACACGATGGTCCCATGATATACGAGCAATATTTCGAAGACACCTATGGTCAGATACTAGTAACCTAGGTTTATCTTCTACTCTTACCGACCATGTTTCACTGCTATAAAGTAGGAAGGAACAAACTGCTGCGCAGTAAACATTTCCTTTGGTTGATATGCGGATATCTCGCCTACGCCATGAATGACGCAAGTTGGTAAAAGCTAGTCGAGCCTTCTGTATCCGTGCTGAGATTTCGTCACACACCAGATCACAAGAGCTGATGAGACTTCCCAGATAAGTGGGACATTAATTTTCCAGACTTCATTATTTCTGCATTTCCATACTAATTACTCTCTTTTCCCTTTTTTCTCTTCTTGATATTCTCAATCTCCTGCTGCGACATATTATATTCCTGACTCGCGTTATACACTACTCATGTCAATATAAGTAGTACACACTACACTCGTCCACCTTTTGAATAAGGTGCCATCGAAGTCTTTCCGATTGCCGTACTGCTGTCTTCTTTGTTGCCTCATGATCTTAAAACCACCTCTGCAGTTAGCTGGCATTTACGCGCTTCTGTTTGTCTTCTTTCTGGTTTGTGTAAACCGAGCCAGGTCTCTCCGTGACAATGCACGGTCCTTCTAACTTCGGGATCAACTTTCCTGACCCTGACCCGCCTGTTATTTAACTCTTCGTACTTCACACTTTACCAGATCTCCTCTGCAAAAGGCTTCTACGTTTACTTCTGTTGTTCCGCATTCTTTATGCCTGATATCTGTTTTTTTCCACGTTCATTATTGCCTCCATCCTCTCTTTTCTTAACCTTGTTGTGGCCAAGTCTTATCGTGACTATCTACCATACATAAGGAGGAAGTGTGACTTCTTGGTTGTTCCTTGTATGAAGGACCGATGTGCCAACAAAACCAATGGTAACTCTTTCTCCCAATTTCCTCCTCTAGATGCTTACCATTCCTTTGACGTCCGGTTGTTTCTATATATAAGCCCGTTTGTCTGAGGATGATACGGTGTAGTTCGTATCCTCTTGATGCCAAAGTGCTTTAGACGAGCTTCAAACTCGTCACTTTCAAAACAGGGACCATAGTCGGTTAATATAATCTTTGATATTCCATGTCACGCTACATTATGCCGGATTACCACTTCGGTCACTGTTTTTGCCCGCTCGTATGCAGTGGGTACGGCATCTAAACAACATGTAGCATGTTCCGTCATCACTGGCAGGTACTAGTTACCGCTCGCCGTCTTTGGAAACTATCCCACCACATCCACCGATCATAGATCACCGACTGCGGTTACTGGAATTGACTGTAATGGCGATTGTGTGTATCGATGGCCTTTCATTAGTCGACACTGCTGGCAAGTTAACAAGTACTGAGCCATATCGTCTCTCATGCCTGGCCAGTAGTAAATCCGTCGTCCTTGCGATACCTGGTGACACTCATGGATCATCTTATGCCACCAATCAGGTCAGGACTCCATATGTGCTTACTCTTAGTCGTTCCTTTTGCCGAAGCAGCATTACCACCTCTTTGTCCATTGTTCGTTTGTCGACGTCTGCTCCCTCTTTTATCACTCTGATAACCTCTCGAAGGTTAGGGTCGGCTTTCTGCTTTCGGAGGAGTTATAGTGGGTCTCCCTCTAAACTATTCACCGCATATGTTGTCAATGGAAGCTCGGTTTCCATGTCTGATATTGACAAATAATCCATTACGTTTTCCTTTCCTGGAACATGACCGATACTGAAGTAGTACTCTTGTAGATGTATCACCCATCGCGCCAACTTCCCTCGGGGGTCTCTTGCTGTTTCCAACCACTGCAGTAGTTTACGGTCAGTCTCGATGTGGAATCGTCTACCTAAACATATGGTCTCCATTTGTATACTGCCCACACGATTGCTAAACAATTCTTTTCGATCGCTGAATACTCCTGAGTAGTGGGTGTGAGAACGTGACTCGAATATTCCACCACACTATCAGACTGAATCAATACAACACCTATACAATTATCACTTGTGTATGTGGCCACTGTGAGCGATTTCGAGTTCAAACACTTTGAGCGTCATCCGGCGATCTTCTAGCATGTTATTGATTAGGTTGATAGTTTGGTTGGCAGTCTCAGACCACATAAACTTGGTGAGTGTCAAAAACTTATATGGTGGTGCTGCAATTTCGTTGAAATTCATGAGAAACCGACTACATGATCTAGTTAACAAGAAACAATGCCATACATAGACAGGTATGTAATAAAACAAGATAACAGATGCAAAAATAAGCGTTTATTTATTTATCATCAACTATGAACAACAATATGAACACATCGTGAAATAATAAGCAAGCTAAAAAGTACAAAGAAGTAATGAAGACAAATATATGTCAAAAAGCAGAGAAAATAAACAGGTGATGGAAGAAAAGGCTTTTTATTTAATAAAGGAACGCAACTACTACTGCTTTTTATCTTCATGATATGGACTCGTTTTTATTGATGTTAAATGGCTATCAACAACAGATACAGAAATCAACAACTGACCAGCATAATACGTTGGTAAAATTAAATTACATTTAAATGACGATATATCACTAGAGAATAAACAAATTCCCAATATAGTATCAGATACACCAAATAGTAATCCACCAACGGCAGAAGCTATACATGTCCATGGTATAGAATATTCATGTTTAGTTAATTGGGCTAATGCACGCCATACCATAATTACTAATATTAATCCATAAGCTGGAATAACAAGTGTATTGATACCGTCTAGTCCTTCTTTTATAGAAACACATACACAGAGAAGTATTGGTAGTAAAATGAACAATATAGATAGTTTTAAACGTTGAAAACCAAATGCGTAAATGTATAATATATGTGTAATGGCAAACATAGCCATGCCAGGAATAAGAAGACTAGGCCATACCAAAAATGCATCGCCTAAACAAGAGAATAGAAGACCAAGAAAAATTTTTAAAGAATAGGCTTGATTGTTTGGTATCTTAACCCCATACATATAAACAAATGCAACAAGTGATAAAATAGGTGCACATTTGAAAACACAATAACCCACAGTCGACTCATATTTCGGATAAAGAACATAGAATAAAGCAAATGTTTTAAAGAATAAAACTAAACGTGGTCCCAAACATTTGACCTGAAAAACAGGAAGGAGGATCAAGTGAAAGTAATGCTAAAATTTTGATATATCGATAAAAAAAATTACAGAAAGATCTAAAATAACTTGAATCATTTGTATTGGTAGTTTGCATTTTTTTAAATAAAGTTGAGGGCTGCAATCGATCAGTCTGTTATTGACATATGTGAATTGCCTCGAAATTGCTCTGAGTCGCAAGCATTATAAGCAGAGATGAATGGTGGCTAGCAGTGTAATCCAGTACTTGAGTTTCGTCCTATTTAGGTTTCATCAGCTGGATGTACCTGGATCCCATAGTTGAATCTCATGCTGGAATTCAGGTACATCTAGACGACGAGTCTTAAATGGGACGAAACGTGATTCCTGGATTACACTGCTGACCTTTACTCATCTCTGCTTATAATGAATTGAATCGGTTAGTAATCTTAAATAATTTGTCAATGTTTAGCAGCACAATACCTGTAAGACTGAATAATTATTTTACATTGAAATTTACATAAGGTCACAGTGAACAAGCAGCTATTTAACAAACTTGCTAAATTAATACGAAGAAATATGATACATTCTCCTACATATATAACTATGGCGGTAAATGGATAAATAACATCAAACGTTCAACGAAAATATGCACTGAACAAGACGATAAGAGTATGCGTTATATATGCTGAAAGGTAATCCGACGTGATATAAGACATTGTTTGCAGTGAAACTAAAAAGAATGAGTGCAAACGAAACCAGTCGATGAATTCGTACAAACCAACTTAAGCGGGAGACTGAAGTACTCAGTTTTAAATCAAAAGGTTTTAGGCTATAATAACATCCCATCTACTTCAATATTAGATAGTTAGATTTTAATACTAGTGAGATATCGGTTTTCAGTCAAGAAGCGAGTATACTGTGCACCAGTCCGCTTTATATCACTCTATAACTGAAACTGTCTATGAAAGTATAAGACATCTGTAGGCTGCATGCTTTTATCATGGCTGTCTTTGAAGTGCTGCTCGCATCTCGAAGAAAGACTAAGTTAATAATCCTGCTGTCAGAAACAGGGTACTACGTAAACTGAGGAATCGATTAACGAGGTACGAACACTGCATAAGTCGGACCACTTCCTAAACCGACAGACGACAATTAGCTGAAAAAAAGAAAGTGATGGTTGAACCGAGGCCAGTCATTCAATTTCAAGTTTATACAAAACGTGGTATCAGTCCATTAAGCCATTGACTGTTGAGATGAGTCAAGATGGTAGATTCACAGCACTCGCGGCATTCCCAACAGATCTTAGTCTAGGGCAGGTTGGTACATTATTTCATCTGCAAGTTCAGCTTGTGCTGTTGTGCTCTCGATGTCCTGGATAGTGGGTTGTTGATCGAGGTCAACCGACACTAGGGTTCATTTTGTTTAGTTGGTTAGACTATGGCTTAACGATTTAGACTAGTTTTCATGACACATTACCTGATAGTGTACGTCAATACTGATGAAGTATCAGATCTGAACGGTTTTGGTCAGATCCCCTCGATTCCTGGAGTTAATAGACGTTATGTGGAGAGGCCTGATTACTTTTTGGGTTTGACGGACGGGAGAAACCAAGACATACCATATACCATAGTAGCATGTACGCCTGGTAATCGCAACAACGACAGTCACCGTTGTGTTGTGTAAATTTGGTTGTCCGAACTTCTACATATTAAATTGCTAACCCTAAAAATCACTGTGCTGGACAGTTATTGACCGTTCATCGATGGTTTTCTTAGGACATTCCTAATCATCTACGGTTTCTCATATCTGAGTCGGATGTTTGAAGACCGTTTAATCGCTGCCCTTCGAGACATAAAGCTAGTCTCCTTCGGGAAATTAATGAAGTGATCATTCCTGGAGAAAGGACTTACTCATCGTTGTATTTTAACAACTGAGAAGACGCAACCATAGTTAGTTTTCGGACTGATTGGATAATGTTTTTACTTTTCCAAAAAATGACTGCTGATTCAAGTAGGTAGACAGCATTTGGTTGGTTCGTCAAAAAGTTATAGTCTCGCCATGTAATCATATTGAAAAAGACATGTTCGCCCACTGAGGACAAGTGCTACATAATTCAGACTTTATCAATAACGAAGGTCATAACCTATTCCTAGAAGTATAGAAATCAGCTCTTTTATGAATCTTTTGGACTTATATGGTCTCCTAATAAGTGTTTTCATCATATAAAACCGACCGAAGGAATATTCGTTGATGGATGGGTATTTTGGAAAATTTTTCTGAGATGAAGTAAAGTTACGTGGACTCATTAGAACAATAAACTCATGACTACCTCATGAGTCAAAAAATGACAATTTATTTATTTTCTGACAAGCAATCATATTGAAATATACAGAGTATACTTACAACAGCTATTCGACTGATTGGTTCGAACGTCAACATTGAAATGCGCTCTAACTCAAAGCCGGTTCCAAGGTTATTCACCCCGCCAACTGTGTACTTCAGTTTTTTCGAAGCAGACAAAGTAGATTGATTCAAATGGTTCAGATGGTTGTAGATAGAATAGAAGAAGCTTTTGCTTAACGGGCTTCCGTGATTGACAGTCTATTAGAGCAAGTATATCACGGCCAGCTTTCTTTTGATAGCTCTCACTGTCATATCGTTGCAACAATTTGAGGTTGGTCTGTGGCGAACTCTTATGCTAATCAATAGCAAGCAAAAGCCATCAGATTTTAACAACACATTCGAAGTATCCAACTACTCTGAAAATGCTAATTGTAGTTGGCTTTGCTGAAAGATCAACCACAGTGGAATGCTCTCTGAATGCTGTCAAAATAAGGCTGGACCTCCACGTGATAAGACTTATTATTTCAGCCAACTGCCATCTCTATATCTGACGCAACTGTAACATTCAACTGTTCAGTCACTTGCAAACAGTGGATCTATGGAACAACTGCTGCAACTGCGTGAATCGGCTTGATGGGACGCGCGGTCTTAGTATACCTCCGGGTACCTGCGGTGCGACAATAAAGACTACTGATCGGGACCTTACTGCAAGAGTTGATAACAAGTCAACGATCCATAAATAACCCCCAATGAGCAAGTTTAAATCCCCCAAACTATTGCGAAAATACCCCATGGTTATGTACACAGTATTGATCACACCAATCAAACACCAAACGTTAATACCTCAATAGGCAGAAAGGATCCCACCCAGACAAAGATTTTATCTCCAATGACATATGTAAGCAGTGGAAGAATAGCAAGGGAGAGAGCCCCATGACTAAATACTCAGAAACACTGTTCGTCCAAGAAGTAAGACACAAAATTGACGGCTGCATAGTGTACCATCTACTAAATGAAACGAGCGTCTCCGAATCGAAAGGCGGCTACTATTGTGACTGGATTCACTTACGTAGTGACACCATAATATCCAAGCGGTTCAATTGGTTCATACTGTGTCTTAACGCCCACTATCCAAGTGCGTATTCTCGTAGTATGAGAAAAAATCTAACGACAAAATTCATCAAACATAAAAATCCACGTACCCTGGAGCCTCCCGTACTCAGCCCCATCAACAATTGTCGGAAATTTGATTAAAGAAACCATAACTCCGAGGGGGACACAATGCGCACAGATTGGCACATTCACTTACGAATTCACAGGTCATAAATGTCACTTGCGGACACTGAAATGGAGCAGTGTGGTGTTGTTACGAAAAATAATCGTAGAAGCATAGCAGTCACAAAAAAGCTTAGCAAAGTAGACGGAAAGTATCTGAAACTCCCTGGTCCTATTAAATATTGAAGTGTCGGAGGTGTTCTACCGAAAAGCAAGGGGAGGCTAAATCGACAATAATGGAACAAATACTCCACCATGTTTAGTGTGTGTGTATTATCCTGGTTGATCCAAGTGCCAACATAAGTGTCAAATTATAACGAGAAGTAAGTACTTTCACCAGGAATGACTATGTAGAATTATGGTCTACTATGATATTTGTACTGAGCTAATAATAGACCTAATCCTAAAATCGTAGATTTGTCATGATATAACTGCCCCACCTATAAGATCTTACGTGGAAGTCACACCATCGACACACCAACTCACCGTATCTAAACAATTACCAATACATGATAGAGAACAAGCTTAGGCCAGAGAAAAAACAATATATTTAATATGAACAGAGGATATAAGGTAACATTCAGCAGGAAGCACGTCTGCATGGCCGAGCCATGCCACTTGAGCGCGCTTTTCGAACGGAAAGTTTAGTCCTAACGTGATTTGCAGTTATCAAACGTTTGCTGTGTTCTTGCGCAATAAAACTACCATTTCTAACCCAAAGAATCTATCCTGATCTATACGTTCGGTAGATTACTTTTTTTGAGTTTCACCATATGTAATGGTTAACTGTGGTTTTGCCTCAGCTTACTATTCGTTTTTTCTTGTTTTTCACGTAAAGACTAGCTCAGTTTATCTCATTCGTTTTCATCCATTTCTGTCCGTTTTCAGTATGCTTTTTAGTGTATTTTTACGGTCTTAGGCTTTTGCAAGCATCTATAACATAGTTTGCCTCAACATAGACATGAAAAACTCATGCAAACGTCCGGGATGCCGTTTTGCTGTTACAACTGGCATGCAGTGCGACAACTGCAAAGGTTGGTTCCACGAAGCATGCACAGGTCTGACGGCAACTGGTTACAATAGACTCAGCAAAACGGACCAAAAGTGGGTATGCGTCACATGCAGCACGGACGCTGTAGTCTCGCTGAGTAACATCATCGTCCTACTGACAGGTCTGCGGAACAAGTTGTCAGCAAACTTGGATAACTACGGTAAAAAAATGGGTGGACAAACAAGAGCGCGCAATGAACACAAGATTAGGGATGTCGATAGGCATACCATCGATGGAGCATCCATTAACTCTAATGATGACGTGTTGAAGCTCATCACCATCATTACGTCGACGGTATTAGACTCCCTGAGTAAACTCGGGTCTCCCAGCTCAGGATCCCTGAACAAAACAGTGGTTCCCAAAAACCCTGTAGGTGATTCGACCCACGTTGACAGAGCCCAAAAGAACCAGGTGTCACCGCCTAAGCTGAGCATCCCAAGTGTTGTTGTACGGAAAACAACTGGTGATTTGGTCGCTCAGTCTACCCCCAAGAATGTTCGTCCGGTCATCAAGGAGCACAAGATTCAAAAACGTGCCTTGACCCCCAAAAACAAGGTATTAAACCTGAACCCATCGGGAAACCTAGTAAATTAACAACACTTCGTGAGTATTCTCTCATAATCATGAACCTCATTGACAATCCTGACCTTCCTCTCAGTCTGCAGGACAAAAATGATAGGATGCTCTAGTGTGAATTGAACAAGAAGCTCGAGCTTGCTAGAATAGAGCCTTTGACAGTCACTTGAGGAAAGGATTCTAAGCATCTAAATCACCCGAGGCTTCTTCGAGTAACACTTAAGAATGCTACCGACATAGAGGACGTCTTGCTAGCCAGTCACTTGCTGAAATCCGATGGGAACGTAAGAACTCAGTAAAGTTGAGTGTATTTTGGAATTGTGGCTGAAGAAGTGACGACGAGAGTGATGTCCTCCTTCAATGCAGTTGTGTATAACCTCGCCGACCGCACACACCCATCTAAGTTAAGGGATATTTGCCTTAGAGCATGCGGTATGCCAAACGTTAACTGCAAAGTCATCCGCCTTAGAAAAAAGTCAGACAGATCGACTTGCCCCCTTTTGTTTATGTTTGGCTGTTGTAACGATGCTAAGCAGTTTATTGATTTGAGCAAAAATATTAGCTCACTAATTCCATACAAGAATATAAAAGTCACTCCAGACCTAATGCCCTGTCAACGTGGTGTAAGAAGACGCGAAGCGATAGAATTGGATGGGAGTGTTACAGTTAATAATCAGCCAGAGACAGGTTGCAACACAGCAAATAGTTTAAAACACACGAACAATAAGCATGACACCACTACACATACGGCTGATCACTCTGTTGATCTAGATGAGTCTACAGATCAGAAACTTTTGGATAAGATACGGTCCCCAACTGACACCAAAAACCATAGCGACATGACTAATCCCAGCTGTTCGTTCAGTAATGTACTAAAATGTGAGTCGTGTAACAACACACATCCAACTGAACCTACACACATGAAAATTCGTCCTCCTAAAGATGCCCCACAAGTAGACTTGAATGAACCTAAGTTCATCTCACAGGGTCAACAAAAGACTCCAGCTCTGAAAATAAAGGGTGGGAAGACAAAACTCATGATACCGAATAGGGAAACACGTAAGGTTGAACCCAACTGCTCTATAGGTATTCCAAGAACAGTGAACAGGTTCTCCCCGCTGCTATCGTATAACTTGCCTTCAACACCTCTGAGTTGCAAAATGGGTGGTGGGCTTCAGCGTAACAAGCCTTCTTACACGCAGACTAACGAAAACTACCAGAGAACTGGTCACCCAAGTCACCCCCTGAAGCCTAAAAATAAATAAGAATGGTAATAACAGGTTTCTCACTCCACACCCTACCTACATTCCCCAGGATCGCAACTGTAATTACCCTCAGAAAGAAAACTTTTCACACCCTTTAGTACCGACCCATTACATTACAATGGCTCCCATGTATAACAACAGTCGCAACTCCTCCCAGTTACGCGTAGCAGACCCTTCTCACGCTAACGTAAATAGCCATAACAGGGGCTACGAGTCTAGCCATCAAGACTATTTTGTAAATAACCATACACTTCACAGTAGGCCTGTACAAGATTTTTTGGAATAAGACCATAATGTTTCGAGTAATTTGAATTGTATTATGAACTAGGAATCCCAGAATTAACGCAATTGAATTAAGAAGTAAGACACAAGCACAAACGGATCTATTGTATTTGGAATTCGAAATCGAGCATTCAACAAGTACCAAGGTATCATTAGTTCATTCAAACACCACATCTGCCACAGCTTAAATTGGAGTCTAGGTGTTTGTAATCGATCGTACGTCTTCTTATCAAATTCATCCTGAGTCTGTCTGACATTGTATTGGATAGGGTTTCTGTATTATCTAGAATATGCTCATTAGCATTAGAATTAACAATCGAAATTGGAACTGACTCACCTGGTTCCTGAAATTGTATGTGATCTACATATCGACTGTGTGTACTTAAGTCATCGATGTCTAGAATTCGCACCATCGATTTTCCGACATTCTTCAGAACAATACCCGTAGATGGTCGAAGATCATTTCCTCGATAGTATGTAACTTCTGCAGACTCCAAACATCTCATATTCGACCGAAGAATTCTTCCTTTCAATAGCTTCGCTGGAGTCTCCTTCGTCACCGAATGTCTGGCATTTCTGTATTGCAATAGAAAGGTATCTACTCCCCTCTCCAGCTCATTAAATGTTGAGGGGGCTATAGAATCAATAGCAGTCTTTAATGTCCTAACAAAATTCTTTGCCTGACCATTAGAACACGGATG